AATAAATTTTATCCTATGGTGACGGCCAGTAAGTTTGTTTACTGGATGTACTGAGTTGTGTAGGGCTCAGTATATCCAGTAAAAAAAACTGTGGTGAAGTCCTTTATGGGGATAAAGTTTCCAGAAGTGAAATTTTAGGTAGCACACAATTTCTTCTCATGAAAGAAACTTAAGAAATACTTGAAAAAAAGTTCATATAGTACATTAATTTTTGACAGAAATACCATATAATATATGTACTCTGGTTAGTAATATCAAAAAATGTATTAGAACCACCGTTTAATGTTATATTTAATAAAAAATAATATTACTGCCCCGAACGCTCTGCGCCTTGCCACTAAATAATAGATTTACTTAAAATTACATCCCCGATCCTTGTTCTTTCTGTATCGCATCGTGGTGAATTCACATTTCTCAGAAATTTGACAACAGAGCAAAACAAAGCGAGTATTTTATTTGATAATTTTTGCGATTTCTATTGTTTAATGTAAATTTATGTCTTTTTAGGATATGTTGAGCCAACAAAGAAGGCGCAGTTGGAAAATGGAGTAATTAGTAATGAAGTAGCAGGCATATTTGGAAAATTATGCCGATAAGCAGGATGGAATTTGGGAAAGTAATTGCCTGGTTGCAGCATATCTATGTATTTAAAAGTATTTAATTAAATTGTTTATCGAAATGTTGGTAGTAGTGCACTTTGGCGAAGGTAGGTCAAAATGGACGGAAAAAGTTCGAGCGTGGTATCAATCGACGCGTCTTAACGCCAACAATAACAATCCGAGACCGGAAATTAACATTTTTAATTAATGAATGAGTTATTTGCAAAAAAACACTTGCACTTTCCGCACTATGTTTTGATGAATTTCTCGCAAATGAATGGAATAAATGAACTTAATTGAACGCGTATTTATTAGTTTTTATACATTTGTGATGTTTTAAGTGTACACTTTCGCGAAATTCTGTATTTAATAGCAATATTCCGATGGTGAAAATCCGCACAAAAATGTTATGTAGATAATATAAATAAGATGGAGGAAAACTAGTGCTGCCACTCTATTAATACAATTTGTATTTCAACTTTAAAAACACCCAAATAATGCACAAGAAATATACTCTTGTGAAAAGGGGATTTCTGTTCCTTTTCTTCGCATGCAGAAAGGAGAATTCTATGTTGTGAGGGTTATAATCCTTAAGCGCGGCCAAAGGCCGCCTACGCAGAAAGGTGTTCTCTGCAAAAGATGTTCTGCCCCTTTTCTATGGCAACACAGAAAGGAGAAATCTACGTTGTGAGGGTTATAATCCCTAAGCGCGGCCGAAGGCAGCAGCAATTTAGTTCCATTTTATTTTTAATAGAGTGGCAACACTAATTTCCCTCCATGTTATTTATATTAACGGGTGGGCTTTAGTAGTCAGCCGCACCTTGTGTTTTAAGAAAACCAGGTGGAATTAACAAATGAAACTTGGTCAGGATGTTAAGGGAGGTATCCTCTCAAACATGTATAACTAAAAAATATAAATAATATCATTGTTTATAAGTTATTTGTTGTTAAAATTTCTTAAGTCGTTCCACTTGGTTTCCTTAACAAAAAAGCATTTGTGCATACTTTTATATATATAAATGCACATAACACTGTACTTAATACTTTACACACTTTTCTTTTATTTTATCTTGTATATAAATCACTTTAATTAAACTTTTATCGACTTGTAAATTACATTGAATTTCACACATATTTACAATAACACATGGTTGCAAACTGACACATAACATGTGTTGCCATATTGTACAAAACAATACATACAAAGAAGGCAATGATTAAAAAGGAATACAGGGGAAATCAATACAAAAGAAAATGTTCAGCTCCTTTTCTTCGCAAAACAGAAAGGAGAATTCTATTGCCTGAGGGTTATAATCCCTAAGTGCGGCCGAAGGCCGCCTACGCAGAAAGGTGTTCTCTGCAAAAGGTGTTCAGCTCCTTTTCTTCGCAAAACAGAAAGGAGAATTCTACTGCCTGAGGGTTATAATCCCTAAGGGCGGCCGAAGGCCGCCTACGCAGAAAGGTGTTCTCTGCAAAAGGTGTTCAGCCTCCCTTCTTTGGCAACACAGAAAGGAGAATTCTACTGGCTGAGGGTTATAATCTCTAAGTGCGGCCGAAGGCCGCCTACGCAGAAAGGTGTTCTCTGCAAAAGGTGTTCAGCCCCCTTTCTTTGGCAACACAGAAAGGAGAATTCTACTGCCTGAGGGTTATAATCCCTAAGTGCGGCCGAAGGCCGCCTACGCAGAAAGAAATTCTACGCAAAAATACATTTGTTAAAGAGAACATTTTTTTTTTATATAAACTTGTTTTTTCTATTTTTAATTAACTTTTTTATTCTTTATTCAAAATCGCCCGATATCTAATTTGGCATAATTTCTTTTATTAAAAAATCCCACGGTTTCTGTTAGTTGGGTCATATTCCACTTCAAACTGCTCAGTTTGCCTAAGAAAATTCCGTTTTTCCCTCTTTTTCAAACGGTTCCCTAGGGGCCTGTGGGTGGAGCCCAAGGGGGATTCGCCTTTTTAGAAAGCGGGGCCCCGCCCCCTCCCCCTGAACACCTTTTGCAGAGAACACCTTTGTATATTTTTAATGCTTACTGGGTTATATTTTATCTTCTTTTGTCTCTCATTCTTTTGCATATTTTGGAGTTTGACAACTGAACTCCGCCATTTAATTTGCATATGCAACCAAAGTCAGACGCGTGATTTTGAAGGTGTTTTTATTTAATGAATTGTTATTAATTGGTTAATATTAAAGTCGTAAAGCAAGTTATAACTGATCGAGTAAAGTGTAAAGTGAAGGGGAATACAAAAATGTATTGGTGAAGTGGCTGCTTTAAGGAGAATTAAGAGTGATAAATGTATGCTAATTTCCGAATTCTATAAAAAAGGGCATATTTCAAACCCAATTTGTAAATAAATTAGTGACCAAAATTTACAAAAGTGAGTGTTAAAATAATGCGTGGATCCTTGACTACAAGGGTGTGGAATTTTTTTTGGATCGGGCCACCCCTTTGGACGGAATATCCCGAAATAGTTGTGAGCGCTACTAAACCCCACCCAAAATAACAGTGCATAAATTGGAAAAATTGTTTTTGTTTTGCTTTATAATTTTTTGGGAATATTGGTTCAAATGGAATATTTTTATTTGTTTGGTTTTTCAGCTCATTAATGATGCACCCAGGGTTGCATTTACTGTCTATGAAAATATTTCATGAAACGTTCCAAAATTAGCACCGAGCAACAAAGTTGGTTAAGCTTAAATGAAATAGTTTTTTATTAAATATTTATTCCTGGTATTTAGTAAAAAAACATTCAGATCAATACTAATGTATGAAATGAAGTAAATAAAAATCTACGAATACATTTCATGAATATTTTGTTATAGAACCATTATTAAATACAGACATAACTTTGTCGGGCGTTGGTGCTGACGTATATGGAATTAATGCGTTAGAGAGATAAATATACAAGCTCAACGCGCTAATTTAGGTATACTTGTATGTATATACCTGTTACTCGTCTGGCATATACTCCAACTGCGAGAATAATGCCAATTATAACTTATTTAGATGTTAAATATGCAGAAAGCAAAGTGACAAAATAAAAGAAAGTCCGAAGTGTTCGCTGGCAAAAATCGAATGAATCTCTTTTTTTTATTCTGAAAATGGCGGGTCCTTTATAACGAGTCTTAATCGCTAGTTACAACGAGTTATCGCTGTGGTGTCAACGGTTGCCGGGCAGCGGACACCGAACTGCTCACTTTCTCGCCGCTTCCAAATTCGTCACAAGTGCATTTGATTGTAAACAACAGCGAGCCTGCTGCGTCGGGCTCTCCTGATGCTGCCTCTGCTTGTGATGATAAATTTGTCACCAACAGTGACACGACGGTTTCTGTTGTCTCGTCTCATTTACTTACTTCGTCATCTTCAAATGTTCGCGCTCTACAGCATGTAAACAACCGCGCGCCTGCTGCGTCGGGCTCTCGCGATCCCGTTTCCGCTACACCATCTGGT